TTGTGCTTATCACGGGTTCGCCAACTAAATAACTGTGCGAATTAGTAGTTCCTGTGGGATTAGAAAAAGGATTCCGAAGATTATACACATGCCATTTCTGTCTCGCGTGGAAAAGTGCGATCCAGCGTAATAAGAACGTGATTGCTCACGACCATGAGGTATCATCGATACTGATATAATCCCACAGAGATATAAACTCATATTTTCCTCCGGACGAATCTCAATTTCAAATCGACCGCCGGTGACTGATTATGCGGCGACGCTGCTCTCTTCGGCGGTTGGATTTAACTCCTAACGATCAGGAAGGATAGTGGTTATGATGAAAGATTCATCAGGCGCGGTATAAGTAATATATCGGGGCAACTCGCGCGAGATAACATCCTTAACTAGTTCTGCGATTCACGATCGGTATTCGAGCGATCGTCCTTACACATTTCCTGCGCACAGAAATCCCATTCACGTTCAGTTGAAAGTCATTCAGTCTTAAAAAAAAAAAACTATTACAAGGATTATACTAATAATTCAACGATCCGTGCTATAATCTTCAATAATAGCTACACTAAAAAAAAAAAAAGATTGGCTGCTGCAGCAAATTAGATGGTAAAATATGGCATAGCATTTTTAATTGGTTGCAGCAGTCAATTTTTGGTTGCGTTAGCCTATCCGCAATGTCAGTGTAGGGTTTCGGTAGGCTAACGCAACCAAAAATTGGATGCTGTAACCAATTAAAAATGCTATGCCATATTTTACCATCTAATTTGCTGTAGTAGCCAATCTTTTTTTTCAGTGTATGAAAACTGGATCTAAGTTCTAAAGCGTCCTATTTGAAGTACAGAATGCAGGTGAATCTCCACCTAATGATACAAGAAACCTTATGATATAAGAAACATTTTTGTTATGAAAACTGGATCTAAGTTCTAAAGCGTCCTATTTGAAGTACAGAATGCAGGTGAATCTCCATCTAATGATACAAGAAACCTTATGATATAAGAAACCTTTTTGTTTGGATGTAATAAATTTTATTGTATCCAAATAAATTTGTTATTTAGAATGATCCAAACAAACCAATGTTTGAATCAATAAGTGCGATTGTTTGAATTTGAAACAATGTATATCTTTGTCTTAAATACATTATTTGTTTGAACAGATAATATCTATCTTCAGTATTTGCGTGATCAACTGTACGGCAAAAACATAATTGATGTAGCACATAGCTCTATTTTAGTCAAATAAATAGGAATACTAAATCCAAAGAAACCTTTTTCTCTGTGTACCAATCGCACAGATTGTAATCGTCCAAAAATTTTCGCTTTGAGTTCAAATGACCCCTTTCTGTAGTAGAAGTTAAAGGAAATTATCTGACATCCGATCAAATTGGTACAGGAACTTTCGGTCGTCAACTCTCAGTGAGAAATCGGATGTCGTAAATTATTCATAAGGAAAATTCAATTAGAACAGATTCGCACGCGTCGTGCAAATCTTGAAATGCGTACACGTGAAATGCATTGCAGATATTGCGATTATTACTGCAAGCAAAGTAAGTCTGGGCTCGCGAGACGTGTAGCATCCACGATTTATGGCACTTGTTGCCGTTACGTACTGCGGATTGGATATGGAAATAGATTATTGTGGGCGATAAGACGAGCTGAGTAAAGGAAGATGGGAGGAAGGGAAAAGAGAGTACGTACGGCGAAACGTCTTCTGTTGAAGGGCATTATCGTTGTATGGGAGGTCCTCCGATTCTAAGTTCACAATCAATCTACTGAGACGTAGTCCGATTCAACGTGACGATAAGAAATTAAACGCGAGTCCATCGAATCAAATTTGAGCATACCGGAAGAAGCGTGTGTACCAAGAAAACAGATATGACAACAAAAGTCTCCTCCGCAAACATCTGTGCAGCTGTAACAACGCCTCGCATGTGCGTCAAACCAAGTAGAACAACAAGTTACGTCAACGTCAAAATGACGTTATAAGGATGTTTTGTCTATACAATATCAGCTAAAAGTACCCGTTAAAACAATCAACCAAAAATAGCTAATATCAACCAATAAAAAAATTTCGGTGATATTAGTCAACACATCTTGAAACCAATTGAAAGGAACAAAGCAGTAAATAATTTGGCTTATAATGGTTTTACGTAGCAAAAAGACCATATTTTTCTGCAGTTTTAGATCAATAACTTTCAAACGAGTAAGCAGTCCAAATAATCACGAATATTTATTAATATTTTATTATATATATAAAATTTGATTTTAATTCTTAATATTATACTTTCTCATTAAATAAATGTTACAAAACGCGATTTTACATAAGACTCAAACAAACAAAAAATTAAATAATTTTTAAACCAATAAGAGAATTTTGCTTAAAATTTTACATAGATACTCGGACGTAATAATAGAACAATTTGTAAAATTTGTGTTAAATTTCTAATATTTCAAAAATGACTAACTAAACATCCTTAAAATAAATCGTGACTGATCGAAAAATGACTTTTAATTATATCATTTTGGAGCCATTTTGACGTCATTTTAGTATCATGATGATTTTTTCCCAAGGAACACGGCAAGTCAAGAGAAAGTCAAAATAAATGACTTTATTTTGATATCATAAAAGTCAAAATGATGATTTTTGGTTATACAATTTGACCGTTTATTGATGTCAAGAATCAAAATAAAGTCATTTTGATTTTTTATTGACTTTCATGTATTTCTTGAGTTAAGAAGTTCCGCTTTTGTTACGTTTTTGATCCCCAGCGATCACTTTATCGCGCAACGACGATGAGGAAAAATGATTAATGTGCGAGTATCGCGGACTGAACTCTTGTTCCGAAATATTTCTGATTAAAGCGCAGATTTTAGGTAGGTGAAAGCAGTGCAGAAACTCGGAGTGAAAGTCAAATTCGCCGCGCCCGTCTCTTGAAACTTCTTAAGTATCGTTAATAATCGATAAGACGAAGAAATCAATGGCAAGACCGCGACGTAAGTTTCCCGCATGAATTGACTCAAGCGTTGAAAGGATCGCGCTTCGACATTTTGTTTTTTACGATTTCACTTGAATAATTATTAAAACCTAGGAATGAATTAATGGTTGCGCTTAGCAGAAAAAGCAGCTTTGCAACTGTTATAAGATTCTTTAATGACTGATTTATACTTACAGTAGATTCAATGAAAAACCTAAGGGCAAAAACCAATATTAAAGAATCAATATTTGCAAAGCTTTTTCTGAACGCAGCTATTGAAAAACTTCAATAATTTATTCTGTATTATTGTATCACATTTCAATCAGAATTATTTACTATCTGAATGTCAAATTATGGAATCAATATGTATGTCGATGATTACACTAAAAAAAATGTTGTTTCAACAGCATTAATTTAATTGAAAATAATCTTTTATTGATTAAAAAAAAACCAATATTAATAAAACAAATAAAACTTTGTTAAAACAAGACCATGCTGTATTTGTTTTATTAATGGTGTTATTGAATTAACAAAATTATATTCAACTAAAATAATGCTGTTGACACATTATTTTTTTCAGTGGAGGGAAAAAGATCTCAGTAGAAAGGGAAAGTCGATTCCGTAATAATATTCATGCAACAATATTCTTATTTGTTTCTTCTAACACATTCTTGAATAATATATTTATGCTAACGAAATCTGATAGCTCTGTTATAATGAGTATAATAAAATTCAAGATTAATAAAAGAATTGATGAAGTCAAAGGTGGTCGAGTATTTTACGCAAGTGTGACATGAATTGTTTTAACATCAAAATGAAGTGCTAAACGTGTAAGAATAAATCTGCAGCAGCAATAAAAATTTATTTTCTTGAATTAATCATTCAAAAAGCTAATTAATTAATAAAAAAAGCAATAATTATTTTTATTGTATTAAAATAATTATTGTAGATTTATGTCGCATTTAAAATTATGTAAATAAATCATAATATTTCTCATAAACAAATACCAATATTTCTTTCTATATCAAGACATTTTTATCGATTATTAAAACTTCCCTATTAACACAATCAAATAAATTTTGCCCATATTAAAAACAAATGTTTTAATGTATGATACATTTTAATCGCAATAGAGATGTAATTTTTTAATTTATTCTTGTCATTAAACTTAATACTTATGAGAAGTTTTTTATCTTCAATCGCTTAGATATAACTTGAATGAAAAAAAAAGAATCGATTTAAATTGAGTTTTGGATAATAAATACATAGGGAGAAAGGGAAAGTTTTTTTTGGGAATAACATGACTTTCGTATAAAATTAAATACCACACTTGTCATGATTTTAAAGACAAATGAACTTCTCGGATAGAATACAGAATCATAATAAAATTAAGATAACAGGTAAGTCATTTTAGGAAAAATCTTTATTATCAATAAAAATTTGTTTCGATACATTTTCGATAATTTTGTGATAAATTCCTGATATAAAAATGATTTTTTAAGTATTTTTTAATAAAAAATTAAGTGATTTTTGATAGTTAAAAAGTCTTAAATAATTTTGAAGTTATCAGTATGATTCTTCTTAAAACGACTTCTACTTGATCTTGATGTTGTTACGACTTGCATTCTACCTGAGTTTTCGCCCCATAAATTGAGGAATCCCACCGTGGCCCGGCACGATGCACTCGCGTTTGCCCGTGCGAGTCGTTCGCGTCGCTGCGATCGTTCGCGCAAAGCCGATGGCCCCTACTCGCCGTGCCTCTACCTGTCAAAAGGTAGCACCGCGCGCCTTCACAGGTGGATCCCTGCGGAGACGGTGGGGGGGGGGGGACGAAGGGCAGCGAGTGTCGCGTCCCCGAAATCCGATGGTCGGCCGGATTCGCCGTGCCGACTCCGTCAGCCTCGAGAATTCTCGTTGTCTCAATATGGCAGTGGCTCGCGCGCGTGCACACATACATTCCGCGCGCATGCACACGTACAATGTGCATACCGCGCGCGACGTTACATTATATACACTCGAATACGAATACACTCACCGTTCTAACGGCCATCGTCTATCGGCCGGTCGCGCCGCATTCTCTCCTGCCGTGGCTCTTCCGCGGCGGACGAAAACGATCGGAATCCCAAGGAGCCTCCTGGAGCCCGTGATACGCCGCCCGCGAAATCCGCAGCCGAATTCAAGCCGATGCCGCTCCTCGTTCGACGTTCCCCGTTCCGCGGTTCCGCCGCCACCTTCACTCCGCTAACTCCGCTTCGCGGACTTGCTTGCCCGCCTACCTGCGTACCGCCGATGATCGGTCGTTACCTTCGTTAGCTTGGGACGGTTGGATACATTCGAACTGATGCGATTTAAACGCGCACAACTCTCGGAAAACACGTAAGCAACGGTGTCGTAAACATAAATTTGAGAATGCAATTCGCGAAACAATGCGAAAGACGAGACGAACCGATCGCTCGAGCCAGTGACGCTCGCCACTGCTCGCCACAACATAACTGGACACCGGTTGGTGGGGGAACTGAACCGACCGACGAGGAACAAGGCACGGAAGGGGGCAGACCTCCTGGGAGGGGGTAGGGCGTGGGACGGAAGGGCAAAGGGGTACGAGAGGGGCCCCAAGGGGCCCGTTTGGACATGAACGCCGAATGGGTACGTGAAAGAAGAGAGATCGGTAGATATCGACTTTATCAAATTCTCACCCGAATGTTTTCCTTGTTTAACATTAGGTAAACAACAGAGATAAAATGTTACCTGGGCGGCACTCGAGCGAGTGAAAGAATTTTAACATAGCTTTGAGGGAAGTTCCTTCGACGATTTACTTGAATAGATGCTTAAATTTGGCTAGTATTCATAGTTCATTCTTGTTTTAACACCGTCTTACGTATTGTATTAAAATTTATGACTGCACTAAATGTAAGACTTTTAAATGTAAGCATAGAACTGATTATTTAGTGCCCAAGACGAATTGCAATTTATTACTTCAGGCTAATGTCATGTCCTAATTTAAAACGTCATTCTATAATTTTCCTTTGTGTCCCTTTTGTTTTTCTTTTTTTTTTCAATGTAGGAACTATAATATATTGTTACGGCCGCAGCACAGACTCTTGCATAATGCATAGTGCATAAGGGAATCAACCAATCGAAATTCTTCTTTTCCATGGAATGGGAGGAAAGGAAAGATTCTGATTAGTTGATTCGCTTATGCACTATGCATTATGCGTCACGCAAAAGTCTGTGCTGCGGCCTTTAGGATTTTTGCTATAATAAAGTATTTAATGGGTCAATTCTAAGCAGAATCGTAAGATTCCTAACGTGTTCTCGTAAAACTTGTAAGAACTTATTACTAATATTCTAATTTTAAGCGTATATATCGTAAGACGTACGATTATTCATATAAATATCTATGATTTCTTGTAAATTTTATGGCTAATAAGTTGTCTGTAAAAATATTGTATAAAGGTAATAAGCACTTAAAAATTTTTACAAGTCTTATAGGCCGTCTACAATAAGCTGCAAGTCAGAACGTCAGAAGTCTTAACCAGTCTTAACCAAGTCGTTCAAGTTGGCTATTGGCCAACTTCACCGATTATGACTTAAGATCGCTTAGAACTTCTGACTTGCGACTTATTGTAGAAGGTCTATTACAGGAATATGTTACGAGCATTACGATTTTGCTTAGAATTTAGGCATAAGATCCTCTTTTAGTCTCGAGAGCTTTTTTAAAAAAGACCGAGCTTTATCACAAAAAAGATTATTTTGTATTATTCTAAAACTAATAAAACGCACCAGTTAAAGTCCTTTTCAAATAAACTCAAAATTCCTTTCCCATTTTCTGACGTGTGACGAATGATGAATTCTTTTGAGAAAACCTTCAGTTTTGTTCACACTTACGTGACTCTGAACTTGACAAAGTGAGAGCACCCCAAAAAGAAACACAAATCAATACCGTATAAATGACGTTAAAATGAATAATAGATGATTGAAAAGTGATTTTTAATGATCATTTTGGAGTCGTTTTAACATCATTTTGATGTCATGATGACTTATGCTTTGTTTAAAGTGCATCTCACTTTGTCAAGTATATAGGTACATATAACGATATAACGCTTTTAACAAATTTTGTTATAGAGATTGCGCGAACCGATTCAAGAAGCAAATAAACTCTACAATAGAATACAATTGATAAAGAAAATGTGACGTAAGAGAAAAAATTAAATTAGTCAGCCAGCTAAGATTGGTTTATACAGGATCTACAATAGAAGTCGTAGAGGTCGTAGGGTCTTAAGTCGTAGAAAATTGATCAATCATAGTCGATTATTCTTCTCATATGCGACTGTGATTGGTTATGATCAATTTTTTACGACTTAAGACCCTGTGACCGCTACGACTTCTATTGTAGATCCCGTATCAGAAGTGCATCTGGGCTAAACACTTGCGCGCATCATAATTCCCTCATTTGTGTTTACAGCGTATCCTTTTCGTTCGTGGTGCAAACGTTAGTAACAAGACGCAATTAAGAAATTCCGAGAAACGGTCAGGAGGTAGGAGAGCATTAATAGCGGCGTCAGCGTGTAACAGTCATTGTGCATCTTTTGTTTTTGCAGAGCTCAATTTACGTTGTTTTTCTTTTTCAATGTCTTTACGTAACGTCTAAATTTCCGAGCACCTCACGTGTTAACACGGAGTTCTTGATACGATATAAAAGAACATTGGCAATTGACGCTCGAACCGATGAAAGGAAACGTAACAAAAATGAGAAGGTTCTAACAATTCTAACAATTTTACGTTTTTTTATGGAAAAATGTAAAAAATTGACAGTTGATTAATAATGTAAAATCTGAAAGTTATCAGCAGAGAAGTATAACAAAAGAAAATACATTTGACCAGTATTTTTCGGTTCTTGAAACGCACACGCAAATTTTGAATATTTTTAAACTTTATCCCTGTTATTTAGAATCAATTATGACTTTACGTAATTATAAAGTTACAACTCATTATATAATTATAACTTTAATTAAATAAAATGGTTGCAATTATAATTTTATGTAGTTATAATTTGATAAAGTTCAGGAAGTAAATTAATATGGAAACTTAATATGCACCGATATGCTAAACTTTCGGGAAGATATAGAGCGCAACAATTACATTATACATTCGGATGTTTAAATGCTTGAAAGTATACATGTCAAAATGACGATTCACAATCACAAAAATTCAATTAGCGCGTAATGAACATTAGAACGCGAAACTATCTTTGAGCGTTTTCCAGTAAGAGGTGCACATGACACAGTGTCTGTGTAATATTAATTATTTCAGCCTTATTTAACATTAGCGAACAGCATGGATGTAATAAATTCATCGTGTTACAGATATATTGTTTTTTTTTACTGTATTGATTCTTCCACAAAGTAATTATACGAATGCATAATCAAAAATGACAGATTTTTGCATCAAGATTATGATCAAAAATTAAAAATCTTTCAAGCAGAACAATCGCTTTGACATTAGCGATAAAGTAAAAATAAATCATAAATTATGATTTGTTAGTGTTATATGTTATTCTTATGAATTCATATGCGACTGAAGAAGACTATCGTATGTGGAAACTATTTTTGTTAATTTTAATATATTGGATCCCCATATGTTTTATAGTATAATTAGCTTATTGGCCAAATAAAAAGTATATAATTACATTTTACAAAGCTTCTGTAATCACTTTGTTTTATCAAGACAGGGGGATGCAGAGAGAATCGAGGGAGAGTGGAGCGGACTCACCCGGAAGCCATCGTTTTTAGTGCACCGTTGAAGTGAGTAGGAGATACGGTAGAAATGTGATGGAACATACGGTGCTGCACACACTAGTATTGTACCGCACTAGTATTGCGCGTATGTTCAATGTCGATTCAATTGTCATTTCTTACTGAGCCACATAGGCTTTTATCTAATATATCGCAATGCCATTTCTTGCAAGATCGAGCACCCACTACTAGACACAATTATTGCTATGTTCATCATTCTAAGCCTAATATTTCATATATTGTGTGAAAAACTTTTTAAGCGTATTGATTGACTGCAGGACAGAGAGATCTCATTCTCCTTCTCTCTCGTATTGTCATTTTCATAATGCTGATTATAAACACCCATGAGGAAAGTATAGGAAATTATAGAAAATTTTATCGATATTCAACATAATATAAATTATGTTGACTAATATAGAATGTGTACATTAAAAGAAACTGTTTAAATAACATTTTGTATTCATTATCTAAGTATTTATTGTGTATGTTGTTGTCGATGATATTAGTCTGTTTTGACTGTTCGAAAGAGAAAGGTAGCAGCTATCAGAAACGTTTTACCACAGTCTATACTTCATTTTGTTACAATTGTTGAACATATCAATTAGCAGTCAGAATTATTTCTTAATAATACGATTTTATTACACAGGGTAAGTTTCTAAAAATATGA